TGACCCGACACCATCGATCGACATGATCAATCCACAATCGATCGACACTACCATTGGTACATCGATCGACACCAGACGCGAATCAGAGCAGAATGAGTATGAAGTGTGTGGAAATATTTTTGATGGAGATACCACCACGCATTCAGACAAGTCTGGGGGGGAAACAACATGATGAATTGGAAGAAGAGAAAAATAATCAATGGAGGTTCTCAGTTATCATTGATTTTTCACTTCTCAGATGATGTCAGGAAATCCAACGTGAGATTACACAAGTCAGTGGGAAAAAAGGGGAGAAATTGGAAGAAGCGGAAACGGACCAAAGGAGGTTCTCAATTACCATTGACTCCTTACTTTTCAGATAGCATCAGAAAATCAAGAGTGCGCAGCAGATGCTTTTCACATCCATATGCAAAGCTGAAAGCACTCCTAATTGCTGAAATGATAGACAAAGGAGAAAAGTCTATGGAGGCTTTCACACAAGAATGATAAAACTTCAAATAGTAGATATTGAGACTTGAATTGGAGAAAGTTCTCATTCCCATCCGGACTGAATCAGATCTCCAGAAGTCAAGCTAATGACTAAAAATAAGCGTTGAGTGGGAGACAACCCACTGTTAGGTAATTTTAAATAGGGTTTTATTTTAATTTATTACTGATATTTTGTTTTCTAAGGATTTCAGGTTAAAAAAAAAAAAACTGAGGAACAGTAAAGACGGTACTGTAGCAGAGCACTGTTAATCGAAAAAAAAAACATTAATTGGTTTTCTTAGTTATTTATTACTAACCTTTAGAAATTTAGTGTTTTATTTATGTCAGGTATTAGGAAAAAGATTCAAGGAAGATGAGTTTGCATAAGAATCGCCGATGACTAGCTATCATCAATCGACAGAGCATCAAGAATATCGATCGCCACTTAACAGTGTTGATCGATACTCACATCAAAGCTGGTATACATTCTTTCTTTGTTAAATATTTTCCTTATGGTTTATTATCCCATCAATCTTAGGCTGTATAACATTGGTCACAGTGTTATTTAAGTCTGGGGGAGGTTCTACTAATATTGTGTGCTTAGTTAGCTATTTAGAATTGGGACCCGAGTAGGTGATTTCTCATCACATCGACCGATGAGACCACCTCGATATCGATCGACAGCACTTCACATCCATCGATCGATTGTCTCTTCATTGTGTCGAATGATCTCTCTACCCATCGACCGATGCGACCATGTCGATATCAATCGACAACATTTCATCAACAACGATCGATTGTAAATTCATTGTGTCGATCAACACTGAGCAAGTTTTCGTTCTTACTTATTAAATTTTGTACTTCTGCTTTATGATTTTCACCTTACCACTGACTGCGTTACACTGGGGACAGTGTAATTTAAGTCTGGGGGGATTACTAACGTTTATCTACTTTATGAGTCTTATTTAAAATGTTTTCAAAAAGTTTTTATTGAGTCAAGAAGGGGATGATGATCTATTTCCATTTATTACTTGTCATCTAACCACTCTTTAGACCAGTCTTAGATTTACTGATTGCAGAAGTACTCGAGATACTAAAGTGGATCAACCTGAAAACTATGTTTGCACTTGCTGAGAATGTTTGAAGGAACCAAAGCTGACCTACAACCTAATATTGACTTGATTTGCTTGTCTTGGGGCTTGGTATACACTGGATCGGATTCCTCCTTCAGATCTGAAAGGTAAAAATCTTGGTGATTTTGGTTTCCTTCTCTCCTTCCTTTGGCATCCAAAAAAGAAAAATAAAAGACTGAGATGAATTCCTGAGAGGCAGAGGGAGAGGTACATTACCCATGACCCCACTATTCTAATTCAAAGGAATGATCACACATTGTGGAAGCGGGAGAGAGGTACATTACCCATGACCTCACTATTTGCCTACACTTTTCCAGAAAAAGCTACAAAAGTAGAAATATCAATAAGATGAACATTTGTTGTTCATTGGGATTGAGAGTAAAAAAAAAATTGGGATTCATAAAAGGGAGATATAGGGAGAAAAGAAACCAGAATAAGACTGCCTATTTACTCAGATATCTGTTGGGGCGAGAGTCCACGTGTCCTTTGATCGATATTCTCAGGGTAAAGCCTGCACTTTTATTTTATGTAAGAAATGAGGTTAGTAGAGGGGATTGTCGGACAGGGTCTGTTGAGTTGTTGACTAGGTGAATTTGGTTGCTATACTAGGATATTGTATAATGTGCTTCTAAGGTTAGGATGTTTATGATTTGGTTTGCACTACTAGAGAGATGGTGACTGAGTTTTTAAAATCTTTTGAGTCCCTGCTGTTTTCAAACCTTTTTCAGAGAGACTGCCTGTCTGTTTTGCTTGAGGACAAGCAAAAGGGTAAGTCTGGGGGGAGTTGATCGACCATGGATTCTACCCATTTTTAGCCATGGTTTATAGGTGTTTTCATATATATATTTACTACATTATAGAGTATATTTAGATTATTTACAGGTTCAGGAACGTTTTGGAGAAATATGGTGATTTTGGTGTCTTTTGGAGCCTTTAACTGCAGAACTGCGCAGACGCGTCAAATGTTTAGATATGGATGGAGACATTCCCATGGTGAGATTGAGCCCATCTTTTGACACACAATAGAGCTTTGAGTTAGCTTTTCAATGCCACCGGTTTGAGGTCAATCCAACGATTAGATAAGAAGTTATGCCCGTTTTACTGAAGAGTGGTCAGTCTGCTTCGCTAGAGAAAGCTGCCGAGAAGATATGTGTATGTCGATCGATGGGAGACACTTCATATCGTTCGATATGAATGCCAGAATGTGGACTGATTATATTTCATAACCGTTTGAAGCCCACAAGTTACCAAAATACCCTTGACGACTTGAAACCCTATTTATGTTATTTCTAAGCCATTGTTGACAGCTACGCTTTCTACACAAGTTTTCTTTTCATCTATTGTTTCTCTTTGTTAGGAGAGAAGGGAGGAAATACTATCAGAGTCCTCCTGGAACTCCATTGGTTTTTATATCTATTCTATTTCAGTTTTAAATCTATTCATCTATGATTTTTGTGACAATCTTCATGTATGAATAGATCCACCTGTTGGATTTAGGGTTCAGATAGGTTTTGGGATTAGCCCCAACTATAGATTGCTAAGTTGTGATATTCATTGTTAGGATGTTCTTAATGTTTGTTTCTAGAGTCATGAACTTGAGAACCATAAATTGGAATAGTTTAATTTATTAATCTTCATCCTGATATCATCTTATATAAGCTAAGATCCTCTAGGGATAAGCGATAGCCGGTCTATGATCTTGGTGGGCATTATTTCATACTCGATCTGAAGCTATATCGATCGATACTCCTATAGAGTAATCGATCGACGACAAGTATATATCGATCGATGTAACGATAGTGATATCGATGGATATTGTCGGCATCAGATCAATGGACGAGTCTAGACTGCGAAAGCTGATAGATTTATCTAAGAGTTGAAGCTCTTTAATATAATTCATGAAACTTGTTAGGCATCTATAGCGTTATAATCCTGACTACCTGAATAGAAACCCTAGATCTAGCAACCATCCTTCCATCCAACAAATCCTTGCCAAGCTGAACAATTACCTTGTTCATCTTGTTTACTGTTTTCTAGTTTACTAATTTATTTATTGCATTGAAACTTATTAGCCTAGCTTAATATTATAACTATTAGATCTATTAGGTTTCTTAGCTACTCGTGGATTCGATCTCTAAGTACTACAATTGAACCTCTTATTTGAGAGAGTAATTCACTCCTTAGGGTTAAACATTTGAGTGAGATCAAATGCATACCCAAGCCACCTTCATTCAGAGGAACACAAATATCTTTCCAGCTTACATTCCCCTTTGTGGTCTTATGGTAAGGACCAGAACATAAAAAAGCAGAGCAGAGACTTTCAATTTCCTTTAAACAGCTTCCTGGAAGACGAAATGCTGCCATTTAGAAGTTTGCAAGGCTTGTTATGACCGATCTAATGAGCTGTAGGCGACCCGCGTGAGACAAGAGTATCCCAGTCCACAACCTCATTATTTTCCTGATTTTCTCAACAAGAGGAAGTTAGTCAGTTATAGTCATGCGCTTAGTAAGAAGAGGCAGACCTAAATAACGAACTGGTAACTTCTCAGTAGCAAAAGGAAAAGTCGAGAGAATGTCCTTCTCATTATCCTCATGAATACCCGCAGTGTATATGGTGGATTTCTCAAGACTAATCCTGAGCCCCGAAATGCTTGCAAAGTCATTAAAAGCCCCAAGAATCCCTTCTATGGATCTCTAGGTACCATCTGTAAAGACAAGTAAATCATCAGCAAAACACAAATGAGATAGGCGGATGTTCTTGCATCTAGGATGATAGCCAATCTGCTGTTTTTCCTCTGCCTTGTCGATCAAATATGAGAGCACATTAATACAGATAACAAAGAGGTAGGGAGATAAAGCACAACCCTGTCTCAAACCTCTTTTACTTTGGAAAATCGGCAAGTTCCCCATTGACCTGAACTGAGAAGGAAGCAGTACAAACACAAAGATTAATCCATGCCTAAACTTCTAGTTCTAGGAGCTTGTGTTATTATCATCAGTGTCGTTCTAGGTTAGGAATTTTGATGTACAAAGATGAATAAACTTCTTTCTGTTTTTTTTTGAAGTTTTTCGTGCGTTTCTCCTAAGTTATGCGAAGTTAGACTACTACGAAGTTTGGTTAAATGAAAAGGCTTTTGGACAATTGAGAAAGTGAAACTAACACTAACTTCATGTTATCTTCAAGTTATTTTTAGTTTTATGCTTTGGCCCAATTACAAAAGTAAAACTTTAACAAAGTTGGAGTTTTTTAGAATAAGTTGTTCGAGATTTTACGCAGTTGGATAATTACAAAAGTTAAAAACCCAACATAAACAAGAGCATTGAACATCACAACCCAAGTTTTAACACACTAACAAGTTTCTAAAACGTTAATACATAAGATAAAACCTTACAAAGGCCCTATAGCCCGTGTCTCCGAACATAAGGATCATTGTTATTGACTGATTGTCTGAACTCCTCAACCTCTGGAAAAAGCGGATTGAACCTGAAGTCAGATAATCCACCCTCGGTCTCAAGCCATAGTGCAGGTGGACCAAAATAACCTGTATAAATGAGTTTAGTAAGAAATGTTTTACTCAACTATCACATTTAAAACTAAACACATAAACTACACTTACTGATAAAGCTCCAGACCCTCCACAACTTAAGGACCACAATCACCGTCCACGACCCCTCATTTTTTGAAAACCATTCCAGAAGGCATAAGCATGATCTCCAGTTGCAACATATTTTATCCGACTCTTACTATGATAAATAAAATCAGAAGTGTCAATTACTCTAATGTATCAATTATTCTTTGATCATATGTTACTTTCTACTTACATGTTGTCTCTTATGTAAAACATAGTCTATGACCTTGCAGGATCATCAAAATGGGCTTCCGTGTTGAAGACCACTCTCATTGTATCTATCATATAAGTGTATTTTCTTCTGTTACTTACATCTAAATAACTGAACTGTATTTTAATTACAACTATCTTTTGACCCACGCGTCCGCGCGGGTATATGTTCAATGAAATAATATGTTTTTGAATGTTTTAAAAACATTCATGTTATTGGTTAATGTGATTGAGATTATAAATTGATGTTTCTTGTTTATTTTGTTGAATGTACATTTTAAAACTATGAGTTATATTCTTCTTAAATTGTATTGTGTTTTTTTACCTGATAAACTAAACATAAAGTGTATAATATAACTAAATTGAGATTTAAAAAGCTTATTAAATAAAATATAAATTAGATTAGTTAGAACTTATTTTAAATTGTTGTTTATATAGCTTTTAGAAGAAGAAAAAAATCGCTAGTAATTATAGAACCAATTGGAAGAGTAATTAATTTGGGCCATTAGGTTATGATTTTAAAAGATGTATATCCAACCCAAAAAATAGTTAAACTGCAACTCAATCAAAATCCATAGATTTATTTTAATGTCAGTGGCATATCTTGGTAAATATTGAGAAAAACTTAGGGCTAAATACAAAATGTACTTCCCCTTTAATAGTTTAAATTGTATCAGTAAATTATATTAACTGTACTTTCATGTATAGTTAAAGTTTGAATTATTAGCAACAAATAATTAATCATGTTGAAATTTTAATCAATTTATTTTTATATTAAAAAATAACCATGTACACTAATGATCACATACACTAATAAATTATATTTTAATAGGATTTGGTATTTTAGTTTATAAGTTGTGAATGATAAATGATGTAAAAACATAATAAAAATTTTGGGTTTAAATAAATATGAAAACCACTCAATAAGTCATATTTTAGATAGATTTGTATAACTATCTATATATTGGAAGATTTTAAAAAGATATACTGACACATATTAGGATATTTCTTTTACATTTGAATATATTTTCATTGCATATTAAAAATTTGTTGTTTTTTTTAAATGATTTTTGCTATGGTTACTGTTTTTCTTATATATAATTTTGAATATATTTGATATATAGTATTCGATTAAGAAAAAATAAACTAACTTATTTTTTAGATATGTTTTATATCATTCAAATATTTCTCTGTAATATAAATTTTTAATACGTTAAATGTTGATAGATAATTTTAGGAAATATTGTTGATAATATCAAAATTACTATTTTAAAATGTTTATTAATAGTTGGTATTTATGTATTCCAGTATTAAGCATAGTTTAGAAAATATGTTTATCTAGAAAGATGAACAAATTTATTTATAGATGGTTTTTCAAAAATATTTTTATTTCTTATATATTTGAAATATTGTTTAGCATTAATTAGATATAATGTATTAAGATATGTTATATTCTGGCTTTGAGTTATGAGGAAACAATTAATGTTAAAATAAATGGTTTTTTTTTTCATTGCTAAAATCTTTTGAATTATGAGGAAAAAAATATGTATATTATTTTTCCATATGTTAAAATTTATTGGTAAGATATTTTAATAATCTGAGAATATTTACCAATTATATATATTTAAAAGATCCTGGATATGGAGATTTTGAATTATGATACATTATTTAAGTTTAAGACTTTTTTTGTCTGGTTAATTATGATATTACAAACTGTGAGATAAGTTTAAGATTTACAATGGATTTGTTGTACATTCAGTTTAAGTTTCTATTATATTAAAATATAAGTCATGACTCATTTCATGTGTGATATTTTAATTTGAACCATCTTTAAAGAAATTTATTAAATATTATATAATATTATTATAATATCTTTTAATATTTTTTAATTTTTATTTGAAATACAAACAACATTTTTATGAAAACTAACAATAGTTTTATAAAATCGTTTACATGTTTTAAATTTTATTTTCGAAATTAGTTAAATGATATTTTAATTATCATAAATTGTAATTAAATTTAATTCATTTTTTATTTATAGGAAAAATTTTAAAAATATGTAAAATAAATTTAATAATATCCTAATTTTATTTATTTCTTATGTAGTTCTAACTGAATTTAGTTTCTACATATATTTTAAATTTAAAAATAAAACAATTAATATTTTGCATAATAATAATTATTTAGAAAAATTATTACAAAAATTAAAAATTTATTCCTAAAAAAAATTAATATTTATAAATTTCATAGTAATAATATCATAATACACACAACCATTATTATAAAGTTAGATAATATATCAGATAATATGTTGATAATTTTTATTGTATAATATATAATATTTTAGTATTTAAAACAAACCCGCACGATTGTACGGGTCAAGATATAGTGTTCTATTTAAATAAAAGACAATACATTTTTAAAGCTAGGTTTTTTTTTCTCACACTGGTTAATTTTGTGTTACAAACTATGAAAGATATGCTTTGTTATTGTGTAAATAAATTGTAAGTTCATAGTTTAGTTTATAATTAACTTTAGTTTTAATAGATTAGATATTCGTTATTCAGATATGATCAACACAATTTGCAAGGACTAATGTGGGATACCTCCTTCAGTCTTAAGTTAACAGTATATTCGTTTCCTTTGATGATTAGATGTGATTTGCATTTTTTTATAACATAATACGAAGTTATTGTTATTAAGATTGTTATCCTTTTAGTTTTAATGATTGCTTTAAAAATAGGAAAGGTTTTTTAAATGTTACGGGAATTGGGCTAAGATTTTATTAGTTTAGATTTGGTGGACATAAAAATATCCTATAAAAATAAATAACCAATTTAGCATTTTCGATATAAATTTTATATAATTAAAACAAAAGAGTGTTCTTAAAAAAATGGTTTGTAAATAATATGAAGAAAACCCGAGAAACAGAGGTGTAAGTTGTAACAAAAACAGAACCCAGAACATGTAATCGATTTGCTTATATCTATTAAAACTAACCATAGATGATTTATGATTGCCTGCTCTGATAATCATGATATATAATTACTCGTTTTTGTGATGCGTTTTACAAACTCGGTATACAAAAGAAGTCAATTGAATATTAAAAAGTTTAATTCTGTTGACAGCACTAACCTGAGATATAATTGGTTTTGAATCACGTACCCAATTCGTATATAAGTATTTAAATGAATTTAGGATAGATATAATTGATTATGTAGACAATACTTTACCGAGACATAATTGGTTAAGAATCATGTTTAAATTTGGTTAATTATGGAACTATAATTCCGCTAGTAACCAAGTATTAAAGCTGATGGCATTCACTTGTAATTATTGAGGAAAAATCAGGGTTATTTCAAAATTGTACTTCAGTTTTAATAGTTTAGATAGTTAGCATTCATACCTATGGGATAGTTTCAGTCCTTGTAGTTCATGCGAGGGATTTCTTGGATGTTCTTGAACTCCATGTAAAACCGATTGTTCAGAGGATCGATGATGAGGACTTGCGTAAGGTGTGGGAACCGAAATCCACCTACTGTCAATAAATCGTAAATAAGGAAACTTCGGGTAAACCCTAAGTTTCCAGAGGAACCGGCTATCTACAGAACCGCACAACGATAATTAAGAAAACGATGAACTTTAAAATTAAACGGAGAATAAATGATATTGAGAGCAAGAAGGTTCTTATTACGAATCTGCGTAAGAACTGGTACAAAGAGAGTAGCCGAAACTCTAGAAGTCTAATAACGAAAAACCCTAGTTGAGACGCAGCTCGCTAACAGAAAACGAAAATATTCCTAAATGCTAATTTTGGTGGTGAAAGCTCTGAAAAGTCATGTCCCAGCTTCTGCCCTATGCCTCTTGCTTATCTACTCCCTCTTAGGCGGTTTTAGTCTTTCCAATTCGCCCGAAACCGAGTTTATCGGGAATTTTCCATTTCTCTTGATCATTCCTTTTCTTCCGCGGAAATCTTCTATTTATCTTCAAACTTGCCTTTTGTCTTCAAACTTGACATTTATTTTCCTTCTGCGAGTAAATCATCAAAATGTTATCGTATCTTCGGGTTTGATTTCGTTAATATCGCTAGATGGGTTCTTATCGTATTTTTAGGACCTTTCGGGCCGTTTTACGATAAAATCCATTTTACGACTTTATACGAGATCGTTTCCTGAACCGATGCCGTTTTAAATGATTTTCTCGACGTTTTTATTAAAAACGCGTTTTTATGTTTTTAACGAAAAATATCGAATAAATCATGTAATTTAGGCAATGTTTGGTGTTTCGTTTAACCAATGTCGTTTTATACGATTTCCTCGAGTTCTTTCCGAGAAACAGAGTTTTACGGTTTTTATCGTAAAACTCGAGCGATAGGTCGGATCGAGACGAAACGGGAGACATTTTGAACACGGTTTGGAGCACGGCCGTGTCGCAGGTTGTAAGCACTGAATTGAGGATACGGGAGATCGAAGCTCGGGACGGTTGATTTGAGATACGGCGAACCGGGCCAGACCGGTCCGGCTGGCTGGTCGGTGAACCGTCCGGGAAGCTTCTAGTTCGCCCAACGGCGAACTAGCCAGGACGTAGCTAGTTCGCCCAACGGCGAACTAAGCCGGTCATGGCCTAGTTCTCCGTTGGGCGAACTAGCCGGAACAAGGCTAGTTCGCCCAACGGCAAACTAAGCCGGCTTGGCTTAGTTCGCCGTTGGGCGAACTAGCCGGGACGAGGCTAGTTCACCCAACGGCAAACTAAGCCGGTAATGGCTTAGTTCGCCGTTGGGCGAACTAGCCGAGACGGGGCTAGGTCGCCCAACGGCGAACTAAGCCGGTCATGGCTTAGTTCTCCGTTGGGCGAACTAGCCGGGACGAGGCTAGTTCGCCGTTGGGTGAACTAGCCGGGACGATGCTAGTTCGCGTTTTACGGCGTTTTAGGTTTTTCGTGTTTTTGTAAAACGATTCTTCGAGTTTTATAAAAGGATTCTCGAGTTTTATAAAACGATCCTCGAGTTTTATAAAACGATCCTTTGAGTTTTATAGAACTGATTCTCGAATTTCATAATACGA